GGGGTATAGAGGAAGGGAGGGATTCGAGAGAGGGGAGATTGGGGAGAGAAGAATTCGGAAAAAAGTGACAGAACCGTATGATATTCTCCTTCCTCCTTTAAGGTTTAAAATAAAATAAAAAAATGTTAAAAATATCGGTTGGATATTTATTTGTCGTGGCAGAAACGAAAAAAATAATGAAGATACCTAATTAGGTATTTTTTTTTCCTCCGTTACCGTAAAAAGAAACTTCTTTTTTTTTACGACTTTCACGGTTTTTTTTTTTAAACGAATTCGTTCAGCATAAGAAAATAATAAACTATATGAAAAAAAAATGACCGTCACGCGGACGCTATTAACTGGAAAAACAAAACAAAAAAAAACTTTTAGACCGAAAACACATTCAACAACAACAACCAACAACAACAACTACAACCCTTTTCTCATTTAATTATATAACAATGGGAAGGCGTGGTTATAGAAACTAATGATCTTTCACCTGAATCCGGTTGGCTACCCTGTTTAAATATTTTTTTTTTAATAAAAATTTAAAAGCATTAAGTTTACTTAAAAATTAATTTTAATGTTTTTCTCATCGTTTTTAAACTAACCCCCTTTTCCCTTCCCCTCATCTCTCCCCTCGCGACTTTTTAACTTAAATATCGTCTGCTTTCGGAGGGGGAAACGATTTTTTTTTTTTTTTTTTTGGTTTTTTTGGTTTTCGTTTCATTGAAAAAATTCATACGTTGATTGATTCAGGTACAATTTTTAAAATGGATGAAACAGAGGAAGGGAGGTAGGGAGGTGGAAGTGGGGATGAAAAAAAATATTTTGGACGGTCAGACGTATGACCAAACGAAGAAACATTTTAAATTGACCGTAAAAAAAAAGAGAAAACTGGAAGAATCAAAAGAACCACAACAACAACAACAACAAAAAAAAAACAATCAAGCAGACGAAAATATGCTTAGTCATTCAACCATATGTTAGTCGTCAAACCAATTTATTTCGGTTCTGGTTGTTGGTGATGTTCGAGTTAAACCAAAAAAAAATAAAAAATGGAAAACTACTGGAGAAATAATATTTACTGGAAAACAAAGAATTTTTTTTTATTCTTGAGTTTTTCAGTTTTATTTAAAGGTCGTAAAAAAAAATTTAAATAACAACACCAACAACAACAACAACAAACACACACATCGTGTAAATATTTAAGTAAAAAATAAAAATAAAAAAACTTTCTTGTTGTTGATTTCGACGTAAAATCTTTATATAACCAGAGGAAGTAACCGCGGCCGCCATTTTGTCGTCAATTAGAACTCGTCTGCGAAACTAAAAAAAAAATTTTTTTTTTTTTTCTAACTTCCGAATGTAAAAAATTCTTCTTAAGTTATTTCATTTCATTTCATCTTATCATCATCATCATTATCATTATTATTATTATCATTATTAATTTCTTTTCTGAACAACAACAACAATAAAATAAATATAAAAAAAAAGAAATTAGATCTAACGGTTTTTCTATAAAGTGAAAACGCGTATTAACAAGCGGTTAACGCCTTTTTAACAGTTTTTTTCCTTCCTTCCTTCTTCTTTTTCTTTCTTTCTTTCTTTCTTTCTTTCTTTCTTCGTCTTTGTCTTCATCATCATCATCGTCATCGTCATCATCATCATCATCATCATCATCATCATCGTCATTATCATCATCATCTTGTTCTTCTTCTAAACGTCCCCGAAAAAGGAATCTTCATAAGAACGCGACACGTTAAAATTCTTTTCTTTTCCTTCTTTCAAACCGAACATAAAAAAAAACTTTTCACATTTGATTTAACAACCGCGAGTTATTTTCTAAAACCACGACGTATTTCGACTAAACAACAAATAAAAATGACCGCAAAAAAAATTCTATTTAACAAAATTTTACATGTAATATCTCGAATATTGCACCCAAATGATGACGATCACGATGATGATGATGATGATGATGATGTTAATAATAATAGTAATAATGATAATAATAAAAGAAACAAAAATCGATTTTTTTTTTTAAATTTTAATTATTTATTAAGTTCTTGTTATTATTATTATTATTAGTATTAAACTTTTTAAAATCACATTTTCTCTCTCACTCTCTCTCTCTTTCTCTTTTTCTCTCTTCTGAACCTAAACCTTTTAAAATAATAATAATAATAATAATTAAATTTTTTATTTATTTATAAATTTTTTTTTTAAGCGTTAATTATTTCCCCTTTTTAAATCATTTAAAATTTATTATTATTATTATCATTATTATTATTATTATGGTTTTAATTGGCTTTTGCGAATGTGAAGAAGATAAATAATGTGTAAATCGTGGTAATAGCTTCACACACCATTTTGTAAAATCATTTAAATATTATTATAATTATGACTTTTTAAAATAAGAAAAAAAAAGAAAGAGTAGTGGTAATAGAAGTGGAAGAAGAAAAAAAATTCACGGAGGTCTCATTCTATGTGAACGTTCCTCATGATGATAATGATGATGATGATGATGAATTTTAATTCATAATACGTTTTCTTTTGAGTATTATATAGAACGATTTCATTAATTACGGCGCAGCACAACCGTTAAAAAGTCATTCGCTTAAAAGTCTTGAATATTTATATATTAAAAAAAACAATATGGCGGCCCCATCCGGTTCATCGATGATTTATATACTCGGGAAAAGAAAAAAAGAAAAAAAAAATTTTTTTTTTTTCTTACGGGAAGAAATGAATGATATTCTCGCGATTAATCAAATTCAAATTAATGGGTAAAAAATAGATGATGATGATGCTGCTGCCACGTAAAAAAAAAAATTTCCCGTTTTTGTTTTGTTTTGTTTTTTTTTTTACAATAACGATTATTTCGATATATCGCTTTAATAATTTTTTTTATTAAGTTATTATTTTACACCGGAAACCCTTATCATCACCGCGATTTGTGGTTTACCTTACAAAAAAAAATTTTATTATTATTATCGTCGTCTTCATCATCATCATCATCATCATAAAAATTTTCCATTTTTTTCTCGAGTGTGAGGGGAGGCTAGGGGGGAAAGGGAACAAACGTAAAAGAAAACTCGACCGGAATTTTTTTCTTTTTCTTCCGACTTTTTAATATTTTTCTTTTTTACCCACTTCTCCCCCATTCGATAGAGGGGGTAGGGGGATGAAAGATAGGGGGATAAAAAACAAAATCGAAATCATTTCAACTTCTATTATTATTATTACTATTTATATAACGGCTCGTTTATTAAAAAATCGAATTGTTGTTGTCGCATTCGGATTATAATGGCAGCAGGTGAAAATTTTTTTGTTTGTTTGTTCGTTCGTTCGTTCGTTTGTTGTTTGTTCGTTTGTTTGTTTAAATAAAAAAACAAAATTTTTATTTAGTTTTAATGAATCAAAATTTATATATTTAAATACAAAAAAAAAAAAAAAATTGAATATTTATAATATTTATCATTCAGACTAGATTTTTATTAATAAAAAAAAGTAGTAATAATAATAATAATAAATTTTTTCTTTTTAAATTGACTTGAATATCGAAATACGTTTTGCTTATTATTATTATTATTATTATTATTATTATTATTATTATTATTATTACTATTGTTTAAATTATTCACGTACAACTCGTTTAACAACCATAAGGAAAACGTTAAAAATTAATACGAGGGATGCAGAAAAATTTTTTTTTCCTTTTTAAAGATGAATCGGATGTTTTCTTTTTTTTTTTCACAGCCTTTTTCTTTTTTTAATTTTTTTTTTCTTTATTAGGTTGGTGCCTTTACAAAAAAAGGTCGGAACGAGAGAAAACTGGCAAAGGGTAGATTTGGGGGGGTGGGAGGGGCGAAGAAATCAAACATAAAATAATTAATTATTTAATTTTAAATAAAACAACAAAGAAAAGGTGAATTATTACGAACGCGAAATAAAATGTACGCGCGCGTTTTTTTTTTTATTTTTTTCGGGGAAACGTTTTTGTATGATAATAATAATAAAATTACTCGCGAAAAAAAAATTTTTCAAAACCGGTTTTTAACGAGAGAAAGAGAGAGAGAGAGAGAGAATATAATATAAATTTTGAAAAATTACGCAGCGTAAAAATTAAAACTCAATTTGCTTGTTTGTTTGTTTGTTTGCTTTTTTTTTTTTATAGCATATTATTAACTAAGAAAAATTAAAAAGGGAATTATTATTTAATTAATTTTATTTAATAAAAAAAATAAACGCGCTATAAAATGCATAATAATAATAAACTATAAAAAAAAATTATGTAGCGTTTCTGTTTCTTCCCTCATTGATAATTATATTTTAAAAAAAAGGATGGAAAATTAACGATTTCGTTTGTCGTGTTAACTGGAGAAAAAAAAAACAAAATCTGTGACGTAATCGTTTTGTATAAAATAAAAAATTATAGCGCTATAAATTTTATTTAAAAGGAAAAACAGAAAGAAAAAGAAAATCGAATTAAAAAAATGTTTTTAATTCCTTTTAAAAAAAATTTTAGAGGAGGGAAATGAGGGAGGAAAACATCCAGGAAAAAAAGGGGAAGAGCAAAGCGCACCAAACTTAAAAAATTAATAATAATAATAATAATAATAATGATGATGATAATAATAATAATTTTTTGTAATATAATTTTATTTTAATGTAAAAAAAATTTCTGCATCCCTGAGCATTAACATCAAAAACAAAAGAAAACCAAACAGAGCGACTGAAATGTAATAATTAATGTTTGTTTACTGGTTGTATATATATTGTATGTAAAGTTTGTGAATCGTTCGGCTTTCTGTCGGTCGCCATTTTGTTTTTTTTTTGTTGTTAATTTAATTTCTTTTTTTTTATATATATTTATATACGTACGTATTTAATTTTTTTTTTTTGAATAATGTACACTTTACAATCGATAATTATTATATACACTCACATTTTTCGAGGCAAGATTGACTTGTGTTGTTGTTGTTGTGGTCCGAGTTGTTGTTGTCCGTTTTTTACTATCATATGTGTATGGCAACGGAACGTGCCGTGTTTACGGGTGGAATATTATTGTGGTTGTTATGCCTGTGTATGTGATGCATCATGTGATGATGGTTGAGATTTGAATTTCTCATGCTGCTCCTCGTTCTTTGATTATTTGGCACGTCCGGAAGAGCGAACCTTAACTTTTCCCAAAATAATTTATCACCCCATTGTAGGTACGTGTTTGTTTTTAAATAAAGTCTTATGTCCGGATCCAAGTCTTTTTGCGGGACTTCTCCGAGCAATACGACAATCAGCCTTTTTCTCCTGTCTCTTAAAACTTGATGGTGAGCGGATTTGAATTCGAATCTGCACCACTCGGATTTGATGAAATTTTCCGATAGTACCATTATAGTGCGTCTAGAACTTTCGACGGCTTGAACTATGGTATCCGCTATGAATGCGTTCACCGGAAAATCTCTGTAGTGGAGACAAAGTTTATAACTCGGATCACCGTGTTCGAGCATGGGAGCAAGTTCTTCGGCGACCCACGCTTCGTCTTTCGAACTGTAACTCACGAACGCGTCAAATAGTTTATCTCTATCATCTCTATCCAATTCGGTGCTTTTATAAAAAAGTCTAACTCCGAACCGGCTGTAAAACCACACTCTCATTTCTTGTCTGTATAAGAATATCACTAGAATCACAACGATTATCGTTAGGAACGCGGTCATGGTCGCGACCAACAGTGGTAAATAATCTTGTATGTCTTGCCTTTGAACTATCGTCTTTTGTTTTAAACGATCCGTCATGTTGATCGTGTTTTCGATAATGGGTTCGATTTCGCACGACGTCGAGTTATCGTTCACGATGAAGAAACCAATTTCGAAAACGTCCGTTCGATTCGTCGGTTTCATGCACTTTATCGATGATAAATCCGTTATTGTTTTCCTAGACGTTTCTATCCATTCTCTAAAACGATCCGTGTATTCGCATTCGCACGACCAATGATTATTTGAAAGACTCACGGATGTCAGCGACGGAGACAAATGCCACACGGCAAAATATTTTATTTTATTATTGTCTAATCGTAAAATTTCAAGATGGCGTAATGGGAGAAACGTGTCGTTGTTTATGCTAACGATTTTGTTGTTTTGCAAATATAACTGACGAAGGTTTTCGAGTCCTTCGAATTCTTGACCGTTTAGTTCTTGCAAATTGTTATTATCCAAACGAAGGAGTTCTAATTCTTTTAAACCGTTAAAAGTTCGATTGTGAATTATTTCGATGTTTGAAGAATTCATGTAGAGTATTTTTAATTTTTTACGACCGATGAAAGCATGGCTACCGATGGCTTGCAAATCGTTACCGTCCAAATACAACTGCGTCGCATCCATGGGAATGCGTTCCGGCAGTGCGTTCACGTAGCCTTTCGCAGTGCAGTCGACAACGTTCGCCGACCACGATTGATCGTGATAGCACGTGCAATTGTTCGGACATGTCATTTTGCAATCGCACGCGTCGAAATCGCAACAGTGGCACAAAGCGAAACAATGAAATTCGTATTGGCATAAAAATCTGCTGGATTCGACTTCCACAAGCGGAATGTAGGATCTTCCTCTGTTGTACATCAATTTACAATAAATGCTTTCGAGATCCATTAATTTCGGTTGATTTCTCGCGCGATTTTCTTGATTTGATTTTTGCAACCATTCCATAGTGCAATCGCATTCGTACGGATTTCCGCCGATGTAAAATTCTGGTAAAAGTTTATCCGCCGGTACGGCGGATATTCTCAAAGAATTCGGATTCAAACTCGTTATTTTATTACCGTATAAATCCACTCTCGTTAAATTTGGCTTTTTGAAAAATGTATACGATTGAACTTTCGATATGAGATTATCGTTTAAGAAAAGAAGTTCGACGCTGTCGGGAATTGCACTTCCGGTTATTTCCGTTAATTTATTCGCACTCGCATCGAACGTGCTCAAACGTAGATGACTTTCTATTTCGAAATAATTTCCCAATTCGGTTATACGATTCGCGTGAATATCCAGCCACTGTAATCCTGTCGGTATCAAAGCATAATCGAACCATTCCAACCTGTTATCCGATATGTTTAACCATATTAAATTTGGTAACTTAGCAAAAAGGCCCCCGATATCGGATAAATAATTTCCATCGAGTCTTATAGCTTGAAGTTTAACATTATTATCGAACGCTCCAGGTTCGACTTTTTGTATTTTATTCCTGGACAAATTGAGAATTTTTAGGGAAGACATTTTGTCGAAAATTCCCTTGCTTATGTTACCTATATTATTTTCGGTCAATCTTAATCCGTACATGTGTTGCATTTGTCCGAACGTGGAATTGGCAATGTTCGTTATGTGATTTTCACCCAAATCTAAAGTTTTTAGTAGGGGAACGTCGGAAAGGACGAGAGGAACTTCTAATAATTTATTACCGTTTAAATGAAGGTCTTGCAAACTGGAAGAATTTTTCAAAGCTTGAGGATCTATTGATTCTATGTCGTTATTGTCTAAAGAAAGAAGGCTAAGTACGTAAAGGCCGCTAAAGGTATAACTTTCGATCACAGATAAACGATTGTTGGAAAGGATTAAAGTGTGTAAATTGTACAATGAGGAAAATGTATTTTCCGGAATGCTTTCGATAACGTTTCCCTCCAATTTGAGTATTTGAAGGCGATAAAGATCGCGAAAAAGTGAGGGTTCCAATTTGGATATCCTATTGTAGGACACGTCCAAAACGACGAGGTGAAGCATACCGGTGAACGTAGCAGAGTTCACCCATTCCGATGTCAATTCATTTCTCGACAAATCCAAAACTATGAGTTGTGTGAGGTCGTTGAAGAGACCCGGAGCCAATACGTTTATGGAATTATTTTGTAGGTACAATTCTTTCAAATCTTTTTTATCGGAAAATAATTCCGGGGGTAAATTAACTAATTTATTATTATTTAAACTTAATACGGTTAATGATATTAAACCTTCGAGAGCTCGATCCGCGAGCAAAGACATACCATTTCCGTTAAGGTAAAGTTTTTTTAATTTTAATAGTCCAGATAATGCTTCCGGTGGCACGACGTCGATGCTGTTATTCGACAAATCCAATATGACTAAATTGCTACCGCATTTATTGGTGTTTTGCTCTTGTCCGCTTCCGCCGAATCTTAAAGCCGTAACGTTTCTCAAACGATTTCTCGTTAAATTTAAATATTCTAATTTGTGCAATGGACAAAAAACGCCGTCCGCAAGCGTCCATATATTATTTTCTCCTAAATCTAATCTTTGGAGTAAGTCTAAATTCTCTTCGAATGCATCCGGTTGTATGTGGAGAGTCATTGCCGACCAATCCGTGTTGTGAGTTCTCAAAGTTAAATTTCTTAATTCTTTGAGACCCTTAAAAGCACCCGCCGTTAAATTTCCTATTTTGCAATATTCTATCGAAAGTTCTTTAAGTTCGACGAGAGATCTAAAACTACCCGAATTTAAGGAACTTTGAAAAAATAACGTGTTGTTACACTCCAAACGTAAGCGAACCGTGTGCTGGGGTTGAATCACGCTGAAATTCGTATTTTCAACTTCGCTATTTATCGTTCCCAAACGGCAAACTAATGCCACGTCTTCGTCGTCTACGGCCGCCGTGTTTTCCCCGTCGGAATTCGCGGATAGCCATTTGCACTCGTCGGGTGCCTGATATCTCAATGCTTTGCTAAGGGACGCGGATAAAACGCTAAAAGTCGCCCCGAAAAAGATGGTAAACGTCACGATGTTCATTTTTAACAAGTTTTTTTATTATTATTATTATCTCTCCAGACTTTATTTAACGGTTGAAAAAAAAGCAACGGGATAATATCTTACGATTCGAAGCAAAGCTTCTTCGTATTTTCACAATAATTTATTTGAAAATGGCGACATTTTATTATAAAATTTTCGCTGATATTTTTACGGAAAAAAAAAACGTTAGGAAAATTAATTTTTTTTCGCAACGTTCACATCGTTCGCGAACGGTTGACGTGTGTGCTTGCGTTTGTATACAAACATATAAACAAAAACAAGTTTTAAAATCGCACTTTTTTTTTTTTAAAAAAACTTTAATTAATTAAAAATCCGCAACAGTAAAAGTTTTCATTACTTATTTTAACATTTCATGTCGACACAACAAACAAACAAACAAACAAACGGTCGAAAAAAAATTAATATTATTACTATTACGATTATGAAAAAAAATCACGAACAACACAATTATTAATAATAATAATATTTAATAATTTATTTTTATTTAAATAAGAACACCACCAACACTTGAACACAATAATCCGAAATTGCGTATCCATAATGCGTATCCATTTATATTAACAACCACATCGATAGCAGATATTTTTTTTTCCCGTCATTTTTATTTATTTATTTATTGATATGCGAAAAAAATTTTGTTAAAATAAAATATTTTAAAAACGAACGTAATAATTATTATTATTATTAATTTAAAAAAATAAATAATTAACGAAAGAAATGAAAAATCGAACCGACACACCCGAACTTGGTGCCGTTTTCTCAAAGACTGATGAAACTTAACATAGTTGCATTGGTTGTAAAAAAAAAAAAAAAAAAAGTATAATGGCCGTGGCCTTGTGGACGCGACCAGCCGGCACAAGAACCAGCCAGATCCCCTCTTCTAAAGAGTGAGTGAGAGAGAGAGAGAATATAACGTACCACGTTAGGAGCGTAAGAAGACTTCTTCGGGTGATACCAACAAAATGTTATAAATGGTATTCGGACTACGTCATCATTGAAAAACTTTATGTTGTCGGTTTTAAATGTGGTAAATGATTCTTCGAGTTCGGTCTTTTACCATTTACTCCATTTTATAAATAAAAAAAAAATTTTTTGTACTTCTTCTTTCTTTCTTTCTCTTTTTCTTTCCCCGTAAATCTATCTTTTTTTTTTAAATAAATTTTTTAGTTATTTTATTTGACTGTAGAGTGAGCCATTTATCAGTTAATGATTTCGTACCTGAATGTTAAGAGATAAATTTTTTTAATAAAATAAATAAATACATTTTTTTTAAATCTTCGTACGTCGTTTTAATAACACAATCGGGTTGTTTTCGTTTGTTGGTTGGTTGTTTTCTTGTTAATAATAATGATAATGATGATAATTTTGTTTTTTTATTAATAATTTTGGATTTTTTGATATTTGAAAAAGAAAAAATTAAAATTGCTAGAAGAAATTTTTTTTTTTGTTATTCGTGGTTCGTTTTCCGTTGTCATCTGCTATTTATTTCGTCTGCTAAAAAATAAATAAATAAAATCATTTATAATTAATGTCCTCCGCGTGTTCGCCCGTGTGTCTCTCTATTGTTATTATATATTAATTTTTTTTTTTTAGTTTTTAAGGATAGGTGTAAAACTTAATTAATTAACCTTTGAGATGTAAAGAAAAATCATTCTGACTGACTGACTGATTGATTGATTGATTGATTGTTTGATTGTGGGAAGATGAGAGGAGGAACGGGGAGAATCGTTAAGAAATTATTAAGATTTTTACATGTTCTTTTATTTCATTTCGTTTTTTTTTTTGATGTTTGTATTGGAAAAATGTCAGAAGTGATTGAGGGTTGGGAGGTGGCGGCGGTGGTGGTGGTGGTAGAGTCGGATCATCCATTCGTGGGTATTTTACAAAAGAAAAAGAAAAAAAAATTTTCGAATTTAAAATTGAAAAGTTCGGAAGCGATTTTTGTTTGTTACTATTAAATTAATCAGTGTCAGTTTGGCAATATTTAACCAAGTGGTTTTTTTTTTTTTATGTTATGACGGTACCTTCTTTGGAAAGAAGTTTTTTCTTCGTCTTCTTCTTTCTTTAGAGAGAGAGAGAGAGAGAGAGAGAGAGAGAGAGAGAGAGAGAGAGATACACACAAAAGACAAATTTTAATGTAATATTTCAATGACAAAAAATTATTTTTTTTTATTTGAATTTATAAATTTTTTTTGCGGTAATTAATTTTTTTTTTTTTTTTATTAACGCCCGAAAAAAAGAAATATTGTGGGGGGCAGGGGTAACGTTTTTTTTTCAACTCCCCTGCTTGTGTGTGCGTGTGTGAGTGCGCGTGGGTTGAATAAAATCAAATGAATGCCGATTTACAAAAAAAAAAAAAAAAAAAAAAGAAAAACGTTAAAAAAAGTTTCCATCGCGTTTGTTGTTGTCGTTGTTTTTTTTTGCGATTTGCTATATGTATATATTATAGCGCTATATTTGCACTATATTGTGTGCGTGTGCGTGTGTGCGTGCGTGATGAACTTGTGTCTTCTTTCGATCCATCATAATAAATCTTTTTGAAATTCGTTTTATAAAAACTTTTATTTAATAGAGAGAAAAATTTTTTTTTTTTTTAATTTGGTAACGATGAGAAGAAAAAAAAATTGTTGTTGTTGTTGTTTGTCGTATGAAAGCGTTAAATAAAGATAAAATACTAGATAAATTGTTTTTGTTGTATGAGTATATGAAAAGGTTCGAAGAAAATGGAAAAATTAAAATAAAAAAAAAAACCGTTTTTTGTTTGTTGTTTCCATTTCAGGTACACAGAAAAAAAATTTTTTTTCGATTTTAACTCTCACCCGTTACCTCCGCGATGTGTCATCTCCTCTCGTTTGTTATTTACAGTTTTATAATTGAAATCATCATCATTATTATCATTATTATTATTATTTTAGAATTTCCGTGGAAGGAAAAAAAGAAGGGATATAAAAAAATTTTTTTTTTATTTTCTTTCCTTTCTAGAACTTTCTTTCTTTTTTATTATTCTCTCGTCTTTTTGTCTCTTACACACACTCGCGCACACGCACACACACTCACTCTCTCTCTCTCTCTCTTTCTTTCTTTTCCTTTTGTCTTTTTGTTTGTTTGTCGGTTCTAAGAGAGAGAAAAAAAGGAATTTATTATTTATACGATTTGTTTTTCACATGTGTAACCAAATAATTTTTTATGAGTTTTACGATATTAAAATGAAAATGAAAAAAAAAAAAATTTAATATCTTTTTGTTCAAAAAAAAAAAGGTTTAAAAATTTAAAATTTAAACCTTTGATGAAATATTTTTTAAAAAACAAAGAAAGGAAAGAAAAGGAAGGAAAAGGAAAAGGCACTAAAAACATGTCCCACGCTCTTATCTACAATCAATAGAAAAAAAAAAATTTTAATAATAAAAAGTCGAGAGGACGAGTCGTATTGCAACGTAGGCGATTTATTTATATAAAAAAATCATTTTCTTGTTGTTTGTTGTTTGTTGTTGGTTGTTGTACAAGTCGAAGAATTTTCAATGACGTTCCATAAAAAAAAAAAAAATCCAAAGTCTAACTGGAATTCATTTCCTTTCCCTCAGATCCTCACAAAAATGGCTTCCGAAATGTTTTAATTAATTATTTAATTTTTATAAAAAGGGTCATCATCCTGTTAAATTTTCTGGAATCCCGGGATTTTATTTTAAATAAATAAATAAAAAAGGAAGCAAAAAAAAACCGGTAGGCGAAGGATCGATCGTTCGATCGTCGTCATTTCGTACACAAAAAAAGTTGTGTAGGTGTTGGTTTAAATTGAATAAGACACAAAGAATCCGACACAAATTAAATTATATACGATAAATCAATTTCAAGTTAACAACAACAACAACAACCGAAACAACAAACAACAAGAAGGTAAAAAAAAAAAGATTAGATAAATTGATGGTCAAATCTAAAATGCAACAAAATGCGAAGGTGATATAGAGAAAAAAAAGATAAAAAAATTAAAGTTCAATAAAAAATATATCAAAAACGATAGATCGATCGATCGATCGATGGATCGATGTATCGATAAAACAATCGAACGCGTTCGTTTAAAATCGGCAATAATAATAATACATTCGTATGATAATTTGAATAAATTGAAATAATGAGTTAGTTGTGTCGTGGAAAAAGAAATAAGGTTCGTTGTCCTTTTTATCCAGCAATTTTTCTGTCTCAAGCTGTGTTACAACGAGTCCGAGACTCTTGGGGGGGCCACTCCTTTGGTGTCGGTTTCATTGTTTTTTATAGTTTTACTTTATCCCATGTTTTCCTCTAATTTCTTTCGGTTCCTCGCGTTTTCTTTTCCAGTTTCATTAAAATCCCTTTGATGACTAAATTTTGCATTTTTTTTCTTTTTGTTCCAGGTAAGATTTCACGAATTTGTCGTTTTATGTATATTAGATTTCTAGTGACACGTGATTTTAATTATCGTAAGGTGAGTAGGATTTTTTTTGGGAAAAATTTTATCAAATTTGTTGGGGTTTTTCGCGATATATCGATTGTTAGATATATCGTTACTTTCGATTTTCTTTTTTTATTTATTAATTTTCACTTTTAATAATTTACGATACGGGTACCCCGAAAATAATAAAAAAAAGGTAAAATAATGTCGGTTAAAAAAAGTTTTTTCTTATTACTACTACGTCCACGTCATTATTCATCGATAATTTTTTTTTTTTTTTTTTATAAGAAGACAGTCTTGAAACGACCGTGTATGCGTACGGGTATTTAGAGGAATTGATGTGTCCCACTGGGTACCGGATTGTATATTTAAAATCTGTCAAGAGATTTGACAATCCCGTGTGGAGGTCTTGGTTGGGGCCCTCGTGCCTCATTCATCATGTCTTCCTTTTTGTTAGATTTGACATTTTACTCTTTCCTACCGAGCGTGATTGCGATGCACATTCCCGACGACACACACGAAAACGAACCACTTTTTTCTTCTTCTTCTTCTT